CTTTTGTCTTTGAGGATTACTCCTGTTTGAATATGTCTCTGGAGATCAGATCGTTATGTCTCTGGAGCTGGACGAGATCAGATCGTGGAGAGATTTCCACCAATTTCACATTCAAAAAACAGATGGTCTGTCTCCAAATATAACAGTTTTCTTCCACAAATTTAAATCTTCCTTTCACAAATTTGTTTAAGGGATAAATGTTGTTTATAGTCTTAAAACTAACTTCTTTACACTTTGGGGGAATTGGAAATCTTAAGTATTTAGTTTGAATAGTTGATGTTTCAGATTTGTTATAATCTCTAAGAGTGAGGGAGCTTTTTGTTCTACCTGGATATAAGGTGTTTACGAAGTACAGCCTTAAAAACTAATTATTGCATTTTTCATTTACATTTTCATTTCACCTTGTGTAAATTTGGAGTTGGTATTTTCAAATTATTATTCATAATCGATTGGATAAAGACTATTGGGAATTTCTGAGAGACTTTCTTGTATATCTCACTGGAGCAACTCATGCCATATTTAAAATCTTTCAGTTCAAGAATGTTTCCATGTCCATCCATTATATGTATAACAGAACAAATTTGATTTTTCATCCAGTCTTCCATAAACACAGACCTCCCCAGACTCAATATCACCCTGTTGTTCCACAATGGGACATGAAATTATGCTTGGATAAACCCGCAAAAATTAAAAGCCTTATATAAGCCTTATATGAGGCAACACAACTATCAGTGTACATGTTACACTGACAGCTGTGTTATACACTGTGTATAAAAAACTATAGTGTGTTGCTTTTATGAATCAATGAACTGTTGCAGAGAACACAGAATTGTACTTCTGCATGTAAAAAAAACATTTTGAACTTGAAAAAAAGACACATGGTTGATTCTTACTTTCCCAAAATGTTTGAGTCCTCCTCAAATTTAGGAAATAAAAATCCAAACTTAAATTATCCACCCATAGCGAACCAAAAATACCATCTGCTTCTGTGTTCCATCATTTTATCAGTGTACTGCAGCTTGCAGTCATATATATAGTATATGAAAAATAATAGCCAATCATTTATTTTTTTCCCTGGTTAATGATTTCTGCTCCTGAACCGCACAGTGTCTGTGCCCTGCCTTTTCCGACTCACTATGGATTGTATTTCAAGACGGAAACATTTCTCAAAACTGGACTTCCGGTCCAAACAGAAGATGATAAGTGATGGAAGAACAACGCCTGAGCTAATAGGTTAGCTTCAAACTACGGGACAGAAGAGTCGTTCTTTTCAAATGGAGTGGTACAAACGAAAAGACTGGCTGTGGCTGTCCTGTTAGAAACCGCCTTTATGTCTATCCTTGTCTTTTATTTATTGGATACTGTGAAATGAAAAATTTGCATTAGCCAAATGGCCAGAAATGGCCTGTTTTGTGTGTGTTTATATTTAATAAACATGTAATAAAAACGTATTAGTTCACTAGTGTGGTTTATTGGAAGTTGGAATAATTGACCAAAAATCAATACTATATTATGACGTTTCCCAGAAATAAAAAAGATAAAAGTCCCAGAAATGCTAAAGAAAATCCCAAAAATACTATTATTCATATTCTGTCAAAAAATTGCCAAAAGAATTTAATAAAAGACTGACTTAAAGTCAGTTCTTAAAAAAAGTATAAAACTCCAGACGCCCCCAAATGATGTATGTATATTTATGTGCATATAGTGACATGTCAAAAACAGGAGTGTATAGTTCTTGATAAAACTCACTTATATAGTGAGACATAAAATGTGCCCTGTTTATAATCTGTGCCAAACACTACACCTGTTAAACTCAGTGTAGATAAATGGTACACTGAAGTCTGTGATTTTACTTGGCATGATACCCAGCAGGCTGGTCTTAGCAGCTACTCGTGTCCTCATGTGGACGCTCTTGTCCCGACGAGGCGGGGTCTCAGCCAGTATTCCATTGGGCCAATAGGAATCTCTGTTTGAATAGTCAGCTGTTACTTCCAATTATAGTGACCGTCGAGGTTCAGTAAGGTGCAGAGGTGGTGGTGAATAGGCTTACCTGAACCTCTTGATATAATCCGCCACAGGTTACAAGTTGAATTCTGAATTCTTTTCCACACATTTTATGATCTGTAATCATCATGTGAAACTAACATTTGATGACATTTCTTTAATAATAAACCACTGGGTGTCTCAGAACTGTTGATAGTGTCTCCGTATGTGGCTCGGATGAGCTGCTGCAGCAGGTTCTTGATGTTCCTGTGCAGCCACTGGTTTTTCTCCTTCAGATCAAACACCTCGTCCATCAGCAGCAGCATGACCCTCAGTGGGATGTTGTCATCCACCTGGACAGACAGGGCATTCAATGGCTGTTTTTGTCAAGCACAGAGACGGATAAGGACAACACAACCCACTCACGTTGTCGTCAAGCTGTGCAGATACTCGACAATGTTCAGGGTCAATTTCAGCCTTAGGAAGAAGTGGAGGCACCTGGGAGCGCAGAGGTCGGACCATACAAAAGCAGAGGTTCCGTCAATGAAGGCATGAAGACAAACAGCAGAGGTTAAATAGAAGTAATGATGGTTTCACCTTTAGTATGGACTGT